ATGCAAATGAAGCCCGGGAAATTCAAATCCCAGGCTTCATTTGCAACTCCGGTTGCCTACATTAACCACCCTAGTTCGAACTAGGGTGGTAGTGTAGACATACCCTGAGTATGGTTATCCAGCCAGTTATGCACCCACCTTATAGTAGCCCCATCTACGTAGTATTTGCCTAGTTTATTGAAAAGAATATCATGCGAGACCGTATCAAACGCCTTACTAAAGTCTAGGTATACCACATCCACTGCTTCTCCCTTATCCACAAGACTCATTCTCCTATCAAAGAGTATGTCTACACTACCACCCTAGTTCGAACTAGGGTGGTTAATGTAGTCATTCGAAGTTGCAAATGAAGCCCGGGATTTAAATATCCAGGGCTTCATTTGCATCTCACCAGGAGCCGCCATTTTTAAACCCCCATTAGTGCGAGGAGTAACGGTAGTGGGAGAGGGGACAGGGAAACCTGCAAGGAGGGAGCTGTAAGGGGGAAGCAATGGGAAGAAGGGGGAGGGGGAAGCTCAGGGCTCAGGCTTGGGGTTCTGGCCAGACCAACTTGATTTTCATGCAAACCTGCTCCTGAGTTAGCATGTGGCCTTTGGTGGCCAAGCTGGCAGCTATCCCACCATAGATGGACGCATTCCTCCATCTAGTGCAGAGATCATGGATGTTGGGGGCATCCCCCAAACCTGGATAGTTCCATTACCCCCGTGCTGCGTGGGGAGCGCAGACCCCAAACAGCCGCTTGCGCAGCTTGCTCCCAAAGTCAGCCAAGTGCCACGGCGGGAGGCAACAGCGCCACCCAGAGGGAACAGCCAGCGTTTCAGAATTACAGAGTCACAGACATTGGGCTACTATATATATGATAACTTTGCTGTGTAGATGTACCTCATGACTCTCCAAATTAAAAGTCAAACTCAAAAGCCTTTTTTCCCTACTAAGAACTCTTTAACATTCAGCAGCCAACCTGGAACACAAAATTATCTGTCACCATAAGCTACCAGCTTCTGGATCCTTCAGAAAATCTTGTTCACCAAAAATCTTTGATAACCCAGTAGTTCCCTATTAGATTTGACAAGGAGGCAGGGGCCCCAAAAAATTGTAAATGCTGCAATTAACAACATAAAGCTGTAAATAAATCCTGAGCATAATGATAGAAGTTGGCATTTTAAATATCTTAGGTAAGGGATAAACTAGTACACCTTGAAAAAATGCTTACCTAATCACAGTGCAACCTTGCCATGAGTGGGTGAACTGCTAATTAGACTAACAGAAATAAAACTGCAGGTAGGATAAAAGGATAAAGAGAAATAATCAGTGATTACAGTTTTAGTGTCAAGGAAAATAGCAGCAAGCAGAGTTCAAAATAAAATGCAGCCTTATAAGTAAACACCAGCATTCATTAAATTAGTGCATTCAAGTAAATACAATCCAGGGACTAACACTTCTCTGAAGCACACCAAGAAAATGAATGGGAGGAAGAGAAAGTAACCATTCTCCATTACCTCTGCCTGCTGCTGTATAACAACCATTAAGATCACATGAATTATTTTGTTGAATTACTTAAGAATTTCAGAGCCAGTCTTGAAACGCCATTTATCTCAAACTTGGTATGAGCTAGACTACTTCATTCTCTTTAAACCTTAATTAGTCTGCTTAAAATGTATGATGTTATCAAATGTAATTAGTCAGATTTCACATCATTATTATTTTGAACTTCACATCAACTTACATTCTGCTACTCGGTATAATCTTGTGTCCATCTCTAAACCAAGTCACTTGTGGTCTGGGATAGCTGATGATGTGGAGGAAATCTAGAACTGCAGCTTGTCCTTGCGATACTGTTTTTCCTTGGTCTGTGTCCATGAAATTTCCCATATCTGAAGGAAAAAAAATTATTCAAAGTCCTGGAAGTTTCTTCTCCATCTCTTTTCTTTTTATTTTAAAGGCATCAGAGAAAAAGTTACATTTTATAGTCATGATTGCCATAATTAAGAAAAAGATATGGCTGGAGTGTTGATTGATGCAAAATTCAGGTGTGCAGTGAGACAAAAGGCAAAACAGAGTACCTCCAGTGCACACAAGAAGTGGATCATTCAGCACTGGTGAATGATGTAATGTATCCTGTGGAATAATGGACTTCAACCCCCCGCAGAAAGTGTCCTTTTTAAATGTACAGATAATTTTGGAATATATTTTTACATTGCAAAAAATAATTGTTAATATAGATGCAGAAGTAGTGTAAATGCTTTATGAAGTCTTTAGCAGTTTTCTTGCTTCCAAGTCTTTCTGGTCATGCTACTCCAGTGCTCTTTTCCCTTTTGCCTCTAGCCACAGGCATATCAGCACCATGGTCTAGTCATACCAGTAGGCAATCAGATTGACACCGAGGGTATGTCTACACTACAAAGTTAATTAGAACTAGCAGCCGTTAGTTCGAATTAACTTTAATAGTGGCTATACATACAAACCGCTAGTTCGAATTTAAATCAAACTAGAGGAGCGCTTAATTTGAACTAGGTAAACCTCATTCTATGAGGAGTAATGCCTAGTTCGAATTAAGTAGTTCGAATTAAGGGCTGTGTAGCCACTTAATTCAAACTAGTTGGAGGATAGGCCTTCCCAGCTTGCCCTGGTGCCCACTCTAGGCCAAACTCTTCTGCCCCCCTCCCGGCCCTGGAGCCCTTAAAGGGGCACGGTCTGGCTATAGGGCTTGTGCCAGATTCAAGCCTGCCAGCAACCAGCC